AATAAAATTTGTCCCAAATTTTGTACTCTACAATTATGATAATAGATGTTAACATCACTGGAGCAATAGAAACCGAGATAATCGCAAAAAACTGTTTTTCTTCACCTTTGACCTTGAATAACTTACGACGCAGACATGAGATTTTATGAGACTTTTGACACAACTTTTAAAACGCCAAAATTAAGGTATATACAAAAATTCAGCTTATTATCTCTCATTCCGAGATTGATCCCTTTTTTATCCTAAAATGACTGGACTAAAAATGTTATTACAAATTTTGGAAATGGCGTATTCAAATCGTTGGCGGGGATTTACCATCTAAATGGCCACTTTTTTCGTACTCCAGAGGTAATGGAACGTGCAAAAACATAAAAGTGGATTTCATCAGACAGTAATTGTTCCATTAGTGGCAACTTTATTTCGAAACGATAATGAGGACATCAACGTAGTCTAGATCTAGGTAGAGTAGACACACACAACATGTTCGCCTATGCTAGTCATACGTTTATTTTTTGGCATCTTCAAACATCATTTTTATTTCAAGGGTGTACTTCGATAAGCTATATTATCTTAAATAACGAATTGAACGAAAAACCTCAGAACGAGTCCATAATTTTGACATCAGAACCTGCAGTGACGATAACAGTTAACGATATAGTTAGCAAATTGTTCGACGGGTTATTTAATCTCTCATACCCACTCCAAAGCTTGCACTTTATAAACACATCCACTGAAGAAATTGAACCAGATTTTCTTAACGGACAAGAAGTTAATTCGATTATTGTTCAAGAAAACAATATTAAAGTGATCCAAACATACACTTTCAGGAATCTCAAACTTACATTTATAGATCTCAGCTGCAATAGAATCCAGTTTGTTGAAAATCTGGCATTCGCTAATCTTTCCAATTTAAAGGTAATCTACCTTGTGGAAAACGAACTAACGACGTTGAACTCCAAAGCCTATGAGAACCTACCCAGGTCTGAAGAACTGAATTTAATGAAAAACTGCATCACACAACTGGGACCATCTTCATTGGATTTTGTCAAGACGAAAGATTTTATGTTATCTCTGTCACATAACAGGATTACAAACATCGACGAGGACGCCTTCAAAGGATCAAATGGCACGAGTATACATCTTGTCCTAGAAAACAATTTGTTGGAGCAAATTTCGGTTAACCTTTTCCACAACCACAGTTTTCTAGAAGTTAGGCTAAAGGGAAACAAAATTCGTAATTTAAGTGGTAATCTTGAAGTGCAAAATTTTAAAATTGTTATTTTGCGCATCGAAAACAATTTTGATCAACAGAGTTCCCAGTCTCTTTTAAGTTGGGCAATTCGGAACAACATAACGTTGGAATGGGAAACCTCTGTTGGTACGAATATCAAAAATCTTGCGCAACAGGTACATTTTCAAAGGGATTTTTCGATGATTTTTCAGATTTTTTCCGTTATTTGTATCTGGTGGATTGTGGTCACATAAATGCTTATTGGTTTATGTTGTACATTTACTTGGCATATGTCAGAATATATCTAGATCAGAATGGATAATCCTTTTGCACCGCAATTCCATGTTATAAATAATACTAACCTGTTTTTTGTCGTGTGATGACATATATTCTTGAGCGTATGTGTAGGTTTGCTACTGTTTATTAATAATCACTCAATACATATTGAATAATCACTATAATTTGTTTTATTTACTAACAGATTATTACAAATCAAGATTTTCAATTTTACGATTTATGTTAGACTAGCTGATCCCGTGAACTTCGTTTCAACTACAATTTAATTTTGTTTGTTTTTATTCAAAATTTATTTACTTATCCCCTCCAAAAAATTGATGACGTCAGCCCAAAATTTTGCCAAATGAATCAATGCTATCTAAAATGTCCAAAATAGGAGGAGACTATACTTGTGATTTATCATTCCATCCATATTTTTTAGTTTTGCTTATAGGGGGTGTACTCAAAAAAATTAATCACTGAGTCAATTTATTTTATTGATTGAATCAAGAATTGCAAGACTGAATTTTGAAATATTGCAGACGTTTTGAAGTTACTGTTTGACATGGTAGGTTTTTAATCAAAATATATCTTTCTATCAAGTCCAAAAACTTGATGACGTTATCTCAAGATTTTGCCGAATAAATCCTATCTAAAATGTGCAAAATATCATCAGTATATTTTCATAATTTATCATTGCATTCGTATTTTTTAGATTTGCTTTTACAGTGACTCAAAAAAATGAATGGATCAGTCAATTTATTTTAGTGAATAACTCAAGAGTTGCAGAAATGGATACTTTGAGATCTTGCAGACGTTATAAAGTTATTGTAAGCATGGTAAATTGTTAAGAATATTTATTTATTCCCCCCAAAAAAATGATGCGACGGCTCACTCGATTTTCGCAGATAATTTTGGGAATACAATACAGTTATTTTTAGTATTACACTGCACCAATCCAAGGTGGTATACGGGTTGATCGTAAATATTGATTAGGTCATCATAAAATTGTGTGAAGAAAAGACTCAACTCGAAAATGCTGAATATGTTTCATTATACTTTTGGTGCGAAGGAAGTTTTGTCGAAACAACGTTCGAACAATTTTTTAACAACGGTTGATATAAATAAAACTCAGTAGATGCTCATACTCGAAATATGAAGTATCTACTCGAATATCAAACCAAAATATTTCTAGTTTTTCTAGATGATGCTAATACTTCAGTAGGTAAGAGTTGATGCATCTCGATACAACAAAAACGGAAAACAGTGACAGTGTTCAACCATCAAGGCAAAAATTGAGTCACCAAAATATAAGTTAGTATTGGGTAGACACCTTGAGATGGGAATCTCTGTGGCCAGTGTTAGAAAGAACGCACTGCACAATTTATGCATAAATAAAATTTAATTATCTTACGACTTCAGTTTTAATTTATCGGATTCCGTGATTCGTTCACTCGACAATGTTTAAATTTTGGGAAAATTTTCGAAACGATTGAAGTCGGTTGATCAAAGCTATACATTTGCACGATATAAATTAATGAATTTTAAACATAATTAATATCACTTATAATGTTTAAATATGATAAGCATAAATATATATGATAATTAAACCGAAACTCGTATTCCTACAAACCCGAAATTATTAAAAACAAATCAATTTGTTTAAACAATATTAAATTATCCCCGAAAATGTGCATTTTCCCGACCAAAATATGAAAAACAATTTTTGCAGTCTCATCGTGACGTACGATGACATCAATGTCACGTGAGCTACCTGTATAAAGGTCACGTTTTGCGGTCCTTTGTGTTCAGTATTAATTTCTGTTTGATGGCGGCAAAATCGTCGCGTCATTTTGGCGTAAAAGTGGAGCGTTTTAGCGAATTTCAAGTTTATTATTAATACATATTAATGAAAATTTGTTGTGTTAGTGCTGTGAACACGAACGAAAATGGATATTTCTCCAAAAAGGACAGAAAACAGGGTAAGTACGACTTCAGTTTTAATTTATCAGATTCCGTGATTCGTTCAGTCGACAATGTTTAAATTTTGGAAAAATTAAATCCTCGAATAACGGTAAAGGTTGAGGTTTTGTCGAAACCAATAAAGTGAATATAGGTAAATAGAATGGCAGATCAAAATTATCAAGAAACTTTTTGCAATGTGTAACTAAATTCACTTTAACCAAGTCTTTTCTTAAAATAAACGACGTTTTTTTTACGAAAAAACAAACAACTATTTGAAATGCAATATACTTTTCACAATCGCACGGAAGAAATAGTTTTGTATGACACGTCAGTTAGACGACAGGTCCGTCAGGAACGCCAACTATTGAAATTAATTTGAAGTGGCGATTCCCACATAAAATTTTTAGAATTTTTTGATTTTTTAGCTGTCTTATTTTTTGTAAATTTTTTTATATACAAACCTTGTCCTGACAATAAGGAACACATAAAAAAAAGAATCATCTAATTTGGTGCAGTCGTTCTGAAGTTATGCGCGTACATACATTTCAGCGATTCATTTTTATTTATATAGATGCATTATTATTTTAGAACAAATTTCATAACCATAAAAATGGTTATACTGAGTTGACCTTAAAAGATAGACATACGCTGTCGCGGACTTTTCTTTAGAACTTTTAGAAGGGAACAATTTCGTCATACATGATTTTTACGTAACTTTAACCGTTTAGGCAGTGTAAGCAACGGAAGCTGTCAAAGAAGGAATATTTTTCCCGTTTTTTCCAATTTTTCATTGCTACTTCACTCCTAGTGATCGTAGCGTGATGTTATATAGCCTATATGTAGATACGATAAATGGACTATCCAACAAAAAAAGATTTTTTGAATTCGAACCAGTAGTTTCTAAGATTAGCGTGTTCAACTAAACAAACACTTCAGCTTTATTATTATTACTATTATTATTTTATTGACGTATAACTTCAATTACAATAATAGTACATAAAATAAATATACAAGTATACAAACTTAAATTACTTAATTAATTCATCTTAACAATAAGAAAAATTAGCAATAGATATGAGAAGAGATAAAAAATATATACTCATAATACACTGTTTATAAAAATTGTGACGGAAATAATCGCTTTAGTTTTCTTTTAAACTCGTGTTTACCACTGTTGAATAATACGAAATCGTTATATTTATTCGGATGATTTGCTGTCTCCATCATTCTTAAGATAGCGTGATTCTTATAGTTTTGTTGGTACTAGATACAGAAATTCTGAACGTCGCTGAACTACGCGTAATACGACTATTGGCTGCAGGAATTAAGAACGTTAAACTTACTTAACAGTAAAGAATTGTCAATGTTACCATTTATGAGACCATGGAGAATGCAAATATCCGACATACAATGCCTATCCTCTAAAGAGTTTATATTGAGATAACTACAAATCCAAGTGTAATCACCCTGATGATGACTACGATTAAGTTTAAATTCAATCAAACGAAGAAACCTCTTTGAACTTTTTCTAGTAGATCACAGTCAACTCTATAATATGGATTCCATACTGGGGAACAATATTCAAGATGAGAACGCACAAATGAAGTGTATAACAATGTAATGAACCACTGAGATAAATCACAACAATGACGCCATATGAAGCCTAATATTCTAATTGATTTATTATAAATATGATAATTATGTTGCTTGAATGTAAGGAATGAATCAAAAATAAGGCCTAAATTCTTGATTTCTTTCACACGAGTTATGACAGAGCTTTCTAACTGATAATTAAAAGTTACCAATGATTTAGAGTTGAGGAAAGAGATCACATAACACTTTTTGAGATTTAGAGGTAGTAAATTGCTCAAAGACCATGCATGTAATCTATTAAGGTCATCTTGCAATTCCATTGCGTCAGTCATATACTGAACAGATTTAAATAGCTTCAAATCGTCAGCATATAATAAAAAATTCGAATTGTGAAAGCAAGATGTTATGTCATTAATAAATAACAAGAACAAAATAGGACCACAGTGTGAACCTTGTGGGACCCCCGATGTTACAGAAAAGGGAGTAGATAAGTGGTTCCCAATTCTCACCTGTTGCTGCCTATCACTTAAGAATGACGCTAACCACTTTATAGTGTTGTTATTAAAACCGTATTTGGATAACTTTAAAAGTAGCAACTTATGATTTAGTTTATCGAAGGCTTTAGAGAAATCGGTATATGCAGCATCAACTTGAAGTTTAGTGGCAAAAGCATCATTAAGAAAGGAATAGTATTCTATTAAGTTCGACAGAGTTGATCTATTTTTAACGAAACTATGTTGTTTTTCAGAAATTATGCAGGACGACATACACTGCAATTGTTTAGACACTATGAAGTCAAAAATCTTTGCAATAACAGATTGGTTACACACTCCTCTATAATGATCAGTTCTATTCTGTTCACCAGTTTTAAAGATAGGGATAATATAACTGTTTTTCCAAACTTTAGGAAATTTACGTTCATTTAGAGACGATTGAAATAACAAAATCAATGGAAGAGAAATTGTGAAGACACAGTTTTGTAAGAGAATGCTTGGAATCTGATCTGGACCATAATTGGAGGAGGATTTTATTTGGGAAATATGCTCAAACACCTCAACAATAGACACCTTTAAACCATAATCATTTACTTCCATATCCGGAACAAAATTAAGGTTGAAATTGCTATTGTTCTTTTCATATACAGAAGAAAAAAATTGAGCGAATAAGTTTATACTCTCTCTCTGTGTGTGTACCTTGGTACTTCATCCTTTACTATTTTTCTATACGCTGCATTATATCTAGACTCCGATATTCTCGATCTGCGTTCTTGCTTATCTATATCCTTATCTCTTACACTCAGTTGTTTTTTCATACTCCTCTCCCATTCTCTCTATTTCTGCACATGCATATCCCTTTCCTTCATAATACTTGTCTCTTTCGTTCCAAACATGTTTTCCCCCTTCCTTTCTTATTTTTTTCCAACATCCTTGCAATATTTTACACCGCTCTCACTAAACTCTCTTCAAGTCCAACCTCCCTTTTACCCGCTTCCACTCTTATTTTCTCCCTTTTTGTTTCTTCTCTCACTGTATACTCCGACGTATACTTTTCCAATCCCAATGTCCATTTTATGTATTTTTCTTGCACTCTCTCTATTTCTTCATATTCCCTCCATCCCCATATCTCAGCTCCGTACATAAATACACTTTTGATCAAACTATCAAACATCATCATTCTTCTCTTATATTCATGTCCAAATTTTCTATCTCCTATTCCCCATACCATTCCTATCACTTTGTTCGCTTTTCGGACCATTTCTTGAATATGAGCTCTATCTGAGTTATTGCTCTTTAATGTATATCCTAAGTAATGGAATTCTTTCACCTATGCAATCTTCTTCCCTCTCCATGCCCACTCTTCCTTCTTCTTTCTTACTTTCTTCTCAAACACCACCATTTTTGTTTTTCCACATTCACTTCCAATTCCTGTTTTGTACGTACTTTTTGAAACTTTTAATCGTTGTTCCAGTTGCCCACTCTTCCTTCTCCGTTCCTTGTTTAGATATCTCCATATTTCTTTTTCTGTTTTCAGGGATTTTATTGCCTTCTCTTCTTCTTCTCGTTGTTCTCCTTTTCTTTCTTCACATTTTCTCCTATAATTCTCTCTTGCTTTTAAGTACTCTTCTTTCCTTCCCCTGTTACTCTTCCATTTTCTTAATTTTTCCCTTGCTTTTCTCTTCAATTCACTACATTCTCCGTTCCATCCATTATTCCTCCCTTGCCATATGTATATCTTTCTTTTTTCCGTAGCTTCTACGCTACAATTAAGTTGATCAGTTTTGCTATCATAGCATCTATATCTTCTTTTACTTCGAATTTGTTTTTTTCTAGTCTACTTCTGTATCTTTGAATTCCCTTTTCATCCCATCTTTTTTTTTCTATTTCTTTTCTTTCGTTTCTTCACTCTTGTTGTTCGTACTGTTGCTCTTTTCCTTTGATTTTTATTTCTAGTGGCATGTGGTCTGATTCTACCCTTTCCCCCACTTTTTAACTTTCTATTTCTTCCCACGCCCCTTCGTTGACAATCCCATAGTCTATAATTGATTCTCCTCTAGCCCTTACGTACGTCCATTCTCCTTCTTCATTTCCTTCCTTGTTTCCATTCAAAATTTCCCATCCCATTTCTTCTATTATCTTCCAGAATATTTTTCCTTTTTTGTTATTTGCCTTGTCTTTTGATCCTCTTTTATCTCCCTTTTCTTTATCTATTATTCTTGTCCCCTTATCGCCCAGTCTTGCGTTAAAATCCCCTCGTAAAAGTCTCCTTTTTCTTTTGTTTCCTTTTCTATGTTTATCTTGTTTTCCTCCGTTTTCTTGCTATAAACGGTTATTATTTCCATCGATTGTTATCCAACTGTATTACTTTCTTCATTAGTCTGTTTTTACTATTACTTTCCTTTTCCAATTCTTGCATTTCTTTTCGAATTCCCATTACTATTCCCCCGCTTGCTCTCCCCTTTTTCATTTCCTTTGTGGCTCCTTGACACTCCCACACATATTCTTGTGGTAATCTTTCTTCAAATTTCTCCCAGTTTTCTCTTTGTACCCATGTCTCTACTAGACCCACCACATCAAATTTTCCCACGTAGACCCAGAACTCTTTTTCATTTTTTCGCAACCCTTGGACATTCCAAAACAGTACCTTCACCCCTTTTTCTCCTAATTTTGTACCAGTTTCCCTTTTTCCGATTTCCCTATCTGCATCCTTTATTTCTTTTCCTTTTCCTTTGCCTTGTTTCCTTCCATTTTTCCTCTTTTTCTTCCTTTTCTTTTGGCTCTTTACTAAAATTTTTCTACCTTCTTGAGTCTACCCTCTTCTTCACTTCATTCAAAATTTCTGTCTTCTACAGTTAACTTTTTATATCCCATTCTAACCATTTTTCCTTTATTTCTCTCTTTTGTTGCCTCTTCTTTTATTTTGATTTGAATTTTTCTTTCCGTTTTCGTCAGATCATCATTCATGTAAATTGACGACCCTCTTAAGTTCTTGCTTTTCATTACATATATTTTTTCTTCTCTATTTTCGAATTCCACTATTTTTAAACTTTCTCTGCAATTTTGTACGCGCTTTTAATTTTGACTTTCTCTTCTAAAAATTTTATCACCTTTTCAATTATCTGCTGCTGCCCTCCTGTTCCTATTTCGAATCCCATCATCACTACTTTGTTTCTTCTCTTTTCTCTGTCCATTCGATCTAGCTGACTTTCTACTTCACCCACTCGCTTTCCCATTTCTTCCTTAACTCGCTTCCATTCTTCATGCTTGTCTCTAATTTCTTGATTTTTCTCCTGTAGTTGATCTCTTGCTTGCTTTAATTCTTCTCTTATTGTTTTAAGTTCCTCTTTAGGCCGTGTATTCCATTCCTTCTCCATCTCTATGTCTCCTTGATTCTTCTTCTTTATCAATTGCAGAGGTGACGTTACTGTCAATTTGTTCTTTGGAAGACCTGCTTTTTCTCTTCCGGAGACTCTACTTCTCTATCCCTTTTCTTTCTGTCTGTATATGATAGTCCTAATATGCATGGACAATTTACAGTAATTTCCGAGATTATGTGCCTAACAAAAATTGACGCAGAGGTAATGAAACGTGGAAAAATATGAAAGTGGCAATTCGCCCGAAGGACTCGATCACTCTGATTAGCCCATGCATGATTGCAAAATCTACAAACGAGGCACTTCTATTGGGAAATCTGCGCAATACTTCCAAAATGGGGATTACATCAGACAGTAATTGTTACTTTAGTGGCAACTTTATTTCGAAACGATAATGAGGACATCAACGTAATCTAGATCTTGGTAGAGTAGAAACACACAACATGTTCGTCTATATTATTCGTACGCTTATTTTCTGGCATCTTCAAACTTCATTTTTATTTCAGGCGTGTACTTCGATAAACTATATTACCTTAAATTACGAAATGAACAGAAAAAATCAGAACGAGTCCATAATTTTGACATCAGAACCTGCAGTGACGATAATAGTTGACGATAAAGTTACCAAATTGTTCGACGGGTTATTTAATCTCTCATACCCAGTCCAAAGCCTGCAGTTTATAAACACCTACACTGTAGAAATAGAACCAGATTTTCTTAACGGACAAGAAGTTGATTCTATTATTATTCAAGAAAACAATATTAAAGTGATCCAAACTTACACTTTCAGGAATCACAAACTTACATTTATAGATCTCAGCCGTAATGGAATCCAGTTTGTTGAAAATCTGGCATTCGCTAATCTTTCCAATTTAGAGGTAATCTACCTTGCAGAAAACGAACTAACGACTTTGAACTCCAAAGCCTACGAAAACCTACCCAGATTTGAAGAACTGGTTTTAGTGAAAAACTGCATCACACAACTGGGACCATCTTCACTGGATTTTTCCCAAACGAGAGATTTTATGTTATCTCTGTCACATAATAGGATAACAAACATCGCCGAAGATGCATTCAAAGGATCAAATGCCACAGATATACATCTTTTCCTAGAAAACAATTTGTTGCAACAAATTTCAGTCAACATTTTCCACAACCACAGTTTTCTAGAAGTTAGGCTAAAGGGAAACAAAATTCGTAAATTGACTGGCAATCTTGAAGTGCAAAATTGTAAAATTCTTATTTTGCGTATCGACAACAATTTCGATAAACAGAATTTGCGGTCTCTTTTAAATTGGACATTTCGGAACAACATAACGTTATTGGACTGTGAGACCAGTGTTGGTACAAATATCAACAATCTTGCCCAACCGGTACAGCTTCAAAAGGGTTTTTCGATAAATTTTGAGATTTTTTTTGTTATTTGTTTCGGGTGGATTGTGGTCACATAAATGCTTATTGGTTTATGTTGTACATTTACTTGGTGTATGTCAAAATATATCTAGATCAGAATGCACAATCCTTTTGCACTGCAATTCCTTTTTATAAATAATACTCGTGTGATGACGTATCTATAATCACTCAATACATATTGAATAATCATAATAATTTGTTTTATTTACTAACACAGATTATAAAAAATAAAAATTTTCAATTTTACGATTTATGTTAGATACTGAATGGCTGGAATATCGATTGTGGTATACTGTTACAAATTTAATAAAAAAAAAAATTGACAGACACAGCACAAATTAGCCTTACCCAACCTTACTTTTTATTTATCATTCTGGCACCATTTTCTTATCGTTTCTGTCGTATCACTCACTTAACGACTGTGCTACGTTTTTTATACACTTTTAAATTGTCTTTACAAGTATAATTTTTCCATTAGAAATGTAAACCATGAAAACACTGAACCCTAGACAGTACCTTAAACAACTAAGTACTACACTACACAATGAATTACGAAAAAAAGACACACAAACCACTCAATCCTGTGAAGAGCACTAATTTCTTTTCAAAATTATTTTTTACGTAAGTACTAAAATAACAAATAATACTAGAAAATAACACTAAATTTAGTTACACTGCCAAACTCTTTCTAAAAGGATACAACAAAGAGCTGATTGAAAGCGATATATACCAAGTACTGCCATCGTACGAGTCGAAACAGTTAGGACAAAAACTAGAAAAAGAATGGACGAAACAAGCAAGAAACAACCGAAACTCCTTACCACACCTTCTGTTCAAATGCTTCGGCAAAGAGTACTTTCTACTAGTACTAACTTTAATCATTCCGCTAACTCTAACGTATGAATTCTTCCAACATTGCAACTTCCAAACTTACGTTCCTTCTTCCAGAGCTGTGAAACCCCGATTGACCAAAAGATTTATTTTGTACTTCGCGTCGGACCGTACTACTTTTCCAAAAAGCGAAGCGTGCGCTTATGGGGCTTTGTTGGTACTAGTAGAGTTCGCTACAGTTTTATACGTCAATAACTTCGATCGAAGAATCATCACATTTTCTCTAAAAATCCGCGCTGGTCTCACTTCTCTGATCTACAGACGAGTTCTAGATTTGAAGTCGGTATCGATTGGCAGAAGTGTTAATCTTATCACGAAAGATGTGTCAGAGTTTGAAGAATTCCTACTAATGGTGACTTTAATGCTGAGAGATGTCTTGAACATTTTGGTTTTGTGTTACGTGTTGTACACAGAAGCTGGTTGGCTGTTCGTGATTTTGATTTTCATTATTGTTACGGCGGTGACTATCAGTGGTGAGTTATAGTACCGGAGGTCGATCTAAGTCGAGTGTACCCATTTTTAGGAATTTTGGCATTTTTTGTGAAGAAACTCCAAGTCAGAACTTTGGCAAAGACGGATATGAGGCTTCAAACCACTAAAGAGGTTTTGGGGGGGATATCGTTGATAAAGTACTACCAATGGGGTGACTACTACCAACACAAAATCCAAGAAATTAGAAAGTAAGGAGACAAAATTGTACCTTCCGTATTAATTTTAGTTTCCAGAAAAGAAGTGTCTCTTCTTACTAAAGTATTTATCTTGTTGAGTACCAGTATCATAATTTCGTCTTCAGTTATTGATTTTTCGTGGTACATCATTGTGGTTGGCTTAATATTTTCCGGAGTTAAGTCAAATGTTGGTACTCTCTTTGTCATATTAAACAGTCTTAACGCACTTCGTTTGCCTCTACAACATGTCTTACCACGGGCAGTACTCGAATTTGCAACAATAATCGCTGCTATCACAAGAATCGAAAATTTTCTTAGAGCAACAAGCAGAAACATCGACGAACCGTCCACAAACATTCCTTTATTGAGTGTGAAAACGCCACACGTGGAGTTTGAATACAGTAGTGGAATCACGGCCATAACCGGACCAGTTGGTGGCGGAAAAACATACTTTTTAACAATTTTGGCAAAAGAAGATATGAAAAGTTTTGCTTATGCATCTCAGGAACCGTGGCTTTTTCCAGCCACCATTAAGCAGAACATTTTGTTTGGAAGTGGTTTCGACCAAGCGCGATATCTGGAAGTTCTAAGAGTTTGTGCTTTGCTTGACGAAGTACAAGACTCGACGGTGGTGGCAGATAAAGGAGCTAACCTGAGTAAAGGCCAACAAGCAAGAATCAATCTGGCACGAGCTGTTTACAAAGACTGCGACGTCTACTTAATCGACGATTGTTTATGTCATTTGGATGTGATGGTCGCAGATTTCGTTTACGAAGAGTGTTTGAGAAAGTTTTTGAAAGACAAAATAACTCTTGTGGTTACGCAAAACGTGCAACATATTGGTAATTCCGACAGACTAGTTACAATAGAGAATGGTACTATTAAGAGTGACGATAAGCAACTGGTGAAAAAAAAGTTTACAACAAAAGAAAATACAACTACTGAAACAAAGTTGGTTGAAAATCTTGAAGCGGATGACAATGTTTACCAAGAAGTGAAAGCTTCAGGAAAAGTCAAATTAGAAGCGTATCAAAAATATTTAGAAGCTTGTGATGGAATTTCAAAAATTTTTGGTATTTTTTTCCTGGTTGTATTAACCCAGGTTTTGAAAACTAGTGTTATCAAGCTACAAGCTAACTGGTAAACTCGAGTACCACATAGGTGGGTATAATTGGTTCTGTTGTAGGATTCGCACCGAACAACTTATCTTCAAGAATTCTACCACGACGAAGGCACTAGAAAATCGACAAAGAATGATCTACGTTCTTCCCATTTTAATAATAGCGGCAACTGTGCTCTTCATAGTCAACACAACACTTTACTGGTTTCTGGCTAAAAAGGCTTCCATATCTATACACAAATTGTTGTTGTCTAAAATTGTAAATTCTTCGATAGAATTCTTCAATAGCCACTTCGCTGGAAACATATTAAATCGCTTTTCGGAAGATATGCTCTATCTTGACGAATTCGTACCGAGAACATTCTACGATATGTTGAGAGTGAGTTGCCTTCATCGATATAAACTTACACTTTATGTTCCAGAACATTGCAGCAACAACCGGAATCATAATTCTTGCAGCGACAGTAAACGTCTATTTTTTGATCGCGTGTTTGGCGTTTGGTGCAATAATCATCACTTTAAGAATGATTTATATAAGAACAGGACGGGCACTAAAGCGACTGGAGTTTTCAAGTACGCTCATGCAATAATAATATTTTTTATCTAAAACTATTTTCCAGCACGGAGTCCTTTAGTTGGTCACATTAACGCAACACTAGAGGGACTGGCGACTATTAGAATTTCCAAACAACAAAATCTTCAACGTGAGGAATTTGATAAACGCCAGAATTTATATACTTCGGCTTCGTACATGTATATGACTTGTGAAAAAGCCTTCCATTTTACTATTGACAGCTGTGGTGTGTGTTTTAGCACTTTTGCAATTATTTTATTTTTAGTTTTAGATGAAGGTAACTTCATTTGTGGCTTTAAATTGACAATAAAAATTTACCCTTTTAGACATATCGTCAGACAATGTAGGCCTCGGTCTCTTGCAGATATTTTTACTTACCATAACGCAACAGTTTTTGTGCCGTTCTTGGACCAGACTCGAAAACTACATGACGACAGTCGAAAGAATTCTACAATACACTAAGCAAAAGCAAGAAAATGAAAACGGCGTAGTTGTGACAAACTGGCCTTCACAAGGCGAAATAAGATACGAACACGTATATTTTGGCTACAACACCACCAACGTATTAAACGATTTAAATTTTGTTGTAAAGTCGAAGACAAAATTTGCTATAGTTGGACGAACTGCTGCCGGGAAAACTTCACTGACGTCTCTTCTTTTTCGTCCATATGGATTCAAAGGACACATATTTATTGACAATGTTGACATAGCTACTCTTAGTTTAGATTTGCTCCGGTCCAACGTGTTTATAATTTCGCAAGAGTCTACTTTGTTTTCAGGAAGTCTTCGCGACAACATTGATCCTACGAAGAAGTTTTCTGACGATGAAATTTGGCAAGCTTTGAAAATGGTGCATTTAGCGGGACTGTTTCAAAGTTTGGAAGATAAAATTTGTCAAGATACAAAACTGAGTGCTGGGCAAGAACGATTGGTTTGTTTGTGTAGGGCTATTGTGCGGAAAAGCAAGGTTGTAATTTTGGATGAGGTTACAGCGAATGTTGATTCTGATACGGAATCCGTAATACATAGCGTAATTTCAAGTAGTTTTGGGGATAGCACTGTCATCGTCATAACCCACAAATTTCGGTATATACTAGGTTTTGACAACGTTCTGGTTTTAGACAATGGTACTGTAGCTCAGGTTGGTGATCCGCGTCGTCTACTAGAAGACAGAAACGGAATCTTTTACAAATTGTATGAGAAAAACCATAAACAATAAATTTTGTTAAGTCAACTCTCATGACCCCTTAGTAGTCCGAAATTCCACGGCACACGCATCATTGATGATTACTCGATGTAGATGGCTTCTTCAAAATCATATAGATGAAAAAGAATGGAAGTGGGGGTTTTCATCAATGAAGGGTTCTTGTTCCGATTCCATTTGTTTTCAAACTTTTCTCATAGTTGTTGTGATTCTTTTGGTTCTGTAGAGATTGTAAACTTGTCGTCAACGTCTTGGATCTTCGAAACCTTGAAGAGAGTTTGTAGTTGCCAACTGAAATTGAATAATAAAAATTGTCTATGTGGACGATTTAATTATTTACTAAGAGAAGAAATGTGAGAGGAAGTTTTAATTGTTTTTGGAGTGAAAATCGTTATATTCATCATTAATGACAATCTTCTTTTATTGTTTTGAAACATTAGAGTTTGTTGAGTTGAGTCAGTAGTATATGATGTACCACGGAGTGTAAGTGTCACTTTGGCGGTCGAGAAATGAAAATACAGTGTTTTTCGCTATACCTGAACCAGCTAATTTTAAAAAATATTTGACAAATCCTTCAAGACGAAAACGGAAAACCTATTTTTTCATTATTTATTATCAGAGAGTAATACTTACGTTAGTGTCAAACACGCAATTAATTGTTTCTATGAAAGATTTCATAATTGAAACCAAAAAAAAAGCAACCAAAAGAAAATTGCTTCACAAATTTACAACCACATTACTTCGTTATTGCTAAGGTATACGAGTTTTAAACAACTTGGAGCATACAGTTTTCTAGATCGATATAAAATATTGTCATCGCATTGAATAGTGTAACCTTTTGATCTTGAACAAAATGTTCTCCGTTTTTCTTTAACTAAATTAAATTTATTCTTTGTGTTCACAGTTCCAATAATGTCATCATCACAAAAACAACGAATTTTATTTATTTATTTCTAGAAACTCTAAGATTCTTTCAAACTTTCTTCCAAAATAAATTTCAAAAAACTTCGAAATTCTTTGAGACTGTTTCAAGAACAAAACACCAGCAATTCCTAAGGTCTTCTCAAATTCTTCTAATAACAAAGCTCCTAAAATTTTTTCAAATTTCAGAAACACAGCGAAAGTTGTTCCTGAGATTTTTCCAAATTCTGTCATAGCATTCTTAAAAAAGCACACTAAGAACCCCTAATATTCTTTCAAACTACTTCAAAAATAAAACACCGGGAATCCCCGAGGCTTTTTCAAACTTCTTCAAAAATAAAATTCAAAGAACAAAACAATAAATTCTCAAAGATTTGTCAAATTAAAAAAAAGCACACGTGAAGTTCAAAATTATGGCAAAGTATTAAAAAAAAGACACCAGAGGTCCCTAACATCTATTAAATTTTCTAAAATCTAAAACAAGAGGTCCCGAATATTGTATCGCATTCTTTAGAAAAAAGACACTAATAACACCTAAGACTTTTTCAAACGCCTTCAACAGCAAAACACTAAAAATCATCTAAAATCTTTTCAAATGCTTTCAAAAATAAAACTCGGAGGACTCCTCTTTTGAAAACAAAGTAATAGTTATTTACCCGTCGATCTAATCCATGAAAAAAAATCGTATACTGACCTGGTTTTACTCGTATGACGACATATATTCTTGTGTGTACATAGGACTGTTAATGTTTATTGATAATCATTCACTAAATATAGAATAAGCTATATAATTTGTTGTTTTATTTACTAACGCAGATTATTATTAAATTTAAATTTTTTTAATTTTACGGTTTAGAGAAGAGGTCCTAAGATGCTTCCTTGTGGTACTCCATCTGAGATATAGACCAGGCTTTATACACCGGGCCCTTGTAGTTGTCGCCACGTTATATGTAGAATGTACAAAATAGATAGATACAGAAAAGATGCTTACACAAATTAGCCTTACCCAACCCTAATTTTTATTTATCATTATGGCAACACGTGCTTCATTTCCTTATCGTTTGTTTCGTATCACTCACTTAACGACTGTGCTACGCTTTTTATGCACTTTTAAATTGTTTTTACAAGTGTAATTTTTCCATTAGAAATGTATATCAAAACACTCAATAATACTGAACTCAAACAGTACATGAAAAAACTACTATACTTAACAATGAATCACCAAAAAAAGACACACAAACCACTCAATCCTGTGAAGAGTACCAATTTCTTTTCAAAATTATTTTTCACGTAAGTAGAATACCCGAATAATAGTACCATAAAGTAACACTAAAAATTTAGTTACACAGCCAAACTCTTTCTAAAAGGATATAAGAAAGAGCTGACTGAAACCGACATATACGAAGTACTACCATCGTACGAGTCGAAACAGTTAGGACAAAAACTAGAAAAAGAATGGACGAAACAAGCAAGAAACAACCGGAACTCGTTACCACACCTTCTGTTCAGATGCTTCGGCAAACAGTACTTTCTACTAGTACTAACTTTAATCATTCCGCTAACTCTAACGTATGAATTCTTCCAACATTGCAACGTCCAAACTTACGTTCCTTCTTCCAGAGCTGTGAAACCCCGACTGACCAAAAGATTTATTTTGTACTTTGCGTCCGACCGTACCACTTTTCCGAAAAGCGAAGCGTGTGCTTATTGCTGGTACTAGTAGAGTTCGCTACAGTTTTATACGTTAATAACTTCGATCGAAGAATCATCACATTTTCTCTAAAAATCCGCGCTGGTCTCACTTCTCTGATCTACAGACGAGTTCTAGATTTGAAGTCGGTGTCGATTGGCAGAAGTGTTAATCTTATCACGAAAGATGTGTCAGAGTTTGAAGAATTCCTACTAATGGTGACTTTAATGCTGAGAGATGTCTTGAACATTTTGGTTTTGTGTTACGTGTTGTACACGGAAGTGGGTTGGCTGTTTGTGATTTTAATTGTCATTATTGTTGCGGCGGTGACTATCAGTGGTGAGTTATAGTACCGGAGGTCGATCTAGGTCGGGTGTACCCATTTTTAGGAATTTTGGCTTTTTTTGTGAAGAAACTCCAAGTCAGAACTTTGGCAAAGACGGATATGAGGCTTCAAACTACTAAAGAGGTTTTGGGGGGGATATCGTTGATAAAATACTACTTATGGGGTGACTATTACCAACACAAAATTCAAGGAATTAGAAAGTAAGGACACAAAATTGTACCTCCCGTATGAATTTTAGTTTCCAGAAAAGAAGTGTCTCTTCTTACTAAAGTATTTATCTTGTTGAATACCAGCATCATCATTTCGTCTGCAGTTGTTGACATTTCGTGGTACATCATTGTGGTTGGCTTAATATTTTCTGGAGTTAAGTCAAATGTCGGTACACTCTTTGTCATATTAAACAGTCTCAACACACTTCGTTTGCCTCTACAACACGTCTTACCTCGGGCAGTACTCGAATTTGGAACAATAATCGCCGTTATCACAAGAATCGAACATTTTCTTAGACCAACATATAGAAGCGTCGACGAACTTTCCATATACACACCTTTATTGAGTCCGAAGACACCACACGTGCATTTTGAATACAGTAGTGGAATCACGACCATAACCGGACCAATTGGAAGCGGGAAAACTCACTTTTTAAAAATTTTGGCAACAGATGATATGAAGATCTTTGCTTATGCATCTCAGGAGCCGTGGCTTTTTCCAGCTACCATTAAGCAAAACTTATTATTTGGAAGTAGTTTCGACCAAGAGCGATATCTGGAAGTTCTAAGAGTATGCGCTTTGCTTGACGAAGTACAGGACTCGACGGTGGTGGCAGATAAAGGAGATAATCTGAGTAAAGGCCAACAAGCAAGAATCAATCTGGCACGAGCTGTTTACAAAGACTGCGACGTCTACTTAATCGACGATTGTTTATGTCATTTGGATGTGATGGTCGCAGATTTTGTTTACGAGGAGTGTTTGAGAAAATTTTTGAAAAACAAAGTAACTCTTGTGGTTACGCAAAACGTGCAACATATTGATAATTCCGACAGAGTAGTTACAATCGAGAACGGTACTATAAAACGTGACGATAAGCAACTGGTGAAAAAGAGGTTTACAACAAAAGAAAATACAACTACTGAAACAAAGTTGGTTGAAAATCTTGAAGCGGATGACAATGTTTACCAAGAAGTGAAAGCGTCAGGAAAAGTTAAATTAGAAGTGTACCAAAAATATTTAGAAGCTTGTGGTGGAATTTCAAAAATTTTTGGTGCTTTTTCCCTTATTGTATTAACCCAGGTTTTGAAAACTAGTGTTATCAAGCTACAAGCTAACTGGTAAACTCGAGTGCCACATAGGTGGGTATAATTGGTACTGTTGTAGGATTGGCACCGAACAACTTATCTTCAAGAATTCTACCACGACGATGGCACTAGAAAATCGACAAAGAATGATCTACGTTCTTCCCATTTTAATAATAGCGGCAACTGTGCTCTTCATAGTCAACACAACGCTTTACTGGTTTCTGGCTAAAAAGGCTTCCATATCTATCCACAAATTTTTGTTGTCTAAAATTGTAAATTCTTCGATAGAATTCTTCAATAGCCACTTCGCTGGAAACATATTAAATCGCTTTTCGGAAGATATGCTCTATCTTGACGAATTCGTACCGAGAACATTCTACGATATGTTGAGAGTGAGTTGGCTTCATCGATATAAACTTACACTTTATGTTCCAGAACATTGCAGCAACAACCGGAATCATAATTCTTGGAGCGACAGTAAACGTTTATTTTTTGATCGCGTGTTCGGCATTTGGTGCAATAATCATCACTTTAAGAATGATTTATATAAGAACAGGACGGGCACTAAAGCGACTGGAGTTTTCAAGTACGCTCATGCAATAATAATATTTTTTATCTAAAACTATTTTCCAGCACGGAGTCCTTTAGTTGGTCACATTAACGCAACACTAGAGGGACTGGCGACTATTAGAATTTCCAAACAACAAAATCTTCAACGTGAGGAATTTGATAAACGCCAGAATTTATATACTTCGGCTTCGTACATGTATATGACTTGTGAAAAAGCCTTCCATTTTACTATTGACAGCTGTGGTGTGTGTTTTAGCACTTTTGCAATTATTTTATTTTTAGTTCTAGATGAAGGTAACTTCATTTGTGGCTTTAAATTGACAATAAAAACTTACCCTTTTAGACATATCGTCAGACAATGTAGGCCTCGGTCTCTTGCAGATATTTTTACTTACCCTAACGCAACAGTTTTTGTGCCGTTCTTGGACCAGACTCGAAAACTACATAACGACAGTCGAAAGAATTCTACAATACACTAAGCAAAAACAAGAAAATAAAAACGGCGTAGTTGTGACAAACTGGCCTTCAGAAGGCGAAATAAGATACGAACACGTATATTTTGGCTACAACACCACCAACGTATTAAACGATTTAAATTTTGTTGTAAAGTCAAAGACAAAATTAGCTATAGTTGGACGAACTGCTGCCGGGAAAACTTCACTGACGTCTCTTCTTCTTCGTCCATATGGATTCAAAGGAAACATATTTATTGACAATGTTGACATAGCTACCCTTAGTTTAGATTTGCTACGGTCCAACGTGTTTATAATTTCGCAAGAGTCTACTTTGTTTTCAGGAAGTCTTCGCGACAACATTGATCCTACGAAGAAGTTTTCTGACGATGAAATTTGGCAAGCTTTGAAAATGGTGCATTTAGCGGAACTGTTTCAAAGTTTGGAAGATAAAATTGGTCAAGATACAAAACTGAGTGCTGGGCAAGAACGATTGGTTTGTTTGTGTAGGGCTATTGTGCGGAAAAGCAAGGTTGTAATTTTGGATGAGGTTACAGCGAATGTTGATCTTGATACGGAATCTGTAATAAATAGCGTAATTTCAAGTAGTTTCGGGGATAGCACTGTCATCGTCATAACGCACAAATTTCGGTATATACTAGGTTTTGACAACGTTCTGGTTTTAGACAATGGTACTGTAGCTCAGGTTGGTGATCCGCGTCGTCTACTAGAAGACAAAAACGGAATATTTTATCAATTGTATAAGAAAAACCATAAACAATAAATTTTATTAAGTCAACTCCCATAAACATATTCCACAACACACCCATCATCTATCACCAAAATCTTGTACGAATCCATCACAGTGTCCAAACTATGGGCGATTTTCAAAACCATTGTCTTTTCTTGATTCCTGTTTTCAAAAAATTTATACTAATTTCGGAGATTATGTGTCTAATAAAAATGGACACACACGACACACAGACAGACAGACGGAAACGGAAGACTACTTATTGCGTACTCCAGAATTAAGAAAACGTGGAAAAACATGAATGTGGCAATTCTATGGACTCCATTGCTATAATTAGCCCATAATTGCGCTGTCTACAACCGAGAAAATATGCGTAATACTTCCAAAACAGGGATTACATAAGACAATAATTTTCACATTAGTGGCAACTTTATATCGAACCGACAATGAGGACATCAACGCAGTATAGATCTTGATAGGGTAGAAATACACAACATGTTCGCCCACATTATTCGTACGCTTATTTTTTGGTTTCTTCAGACATCATTTTTATCACAAGCGGTTACTTCGATAAACTATATTATCGTAGATAACAAAATGAAGAAAAATCGGCAGAACGAGTCCATAATTTTGATATCAGAACCTGCAATGACGATAATAGTTAAAGATGAAATTAGCAACTTATTCAACGGGTTATTTAATATCTCATACCCACTCAACCGTCTGAAGTTTATAAACACCAGCAGTGAAGAAATAGAACCAGATTTTCTTAAAGGACAAGAAGTTTATTCGCTTTATATTCAAGAAAATAATATTAAAGTAGTCCAAACGCACACTTTTAGGAATCTCAAACTTAGAGATATAGATCTCAGTCGTAATGGAATCCAGTTAGTTGAAAATCTGGCATTCGCTAATCTTTCCAACTTAGAGAAAATCTATCTTGATGAAAACAAACTAACGACTTTAAACTCCAAAGCCTACGAAAACCTACCCAAATTACGAGAGCTGGCTTTAATGAAAAACTACATTACACTATTAGGACCATCTTCATTTGATTTTGTCAAGACGACATATATTTTGTTGTCTTTACCTCATAATAGGATTGCAACCATCGACGAAGACGTTTTCAAAGGATCAAATGGCACGAATATACATCTTTACCTAGACAACAATTTGTTGCAACAAATTTCAGTCAACATTTTCCACAACCGCAATTTTCTAGAAGTTAGGTTAAAGGGAAACAAAATTCGTAAATTGACTGGTAATCTTGAACGGCAAAATGTTAAAATTATTATGTTAGGTATCGACAACAATTTTGATAAAAAAAGTTTAAAGTCTCTTTTACATTGGACAATTCGGAACGAGATAACGCTGGACTGTGAAACCTGTCTTAGTACGAATTTCAAAAATCTTGCGCAACCAGTATATTTTCCAAAAGGTTTTTCGATGATTTTCCACATTTTCTTCGCTATTTGTTTGTGTTGGATTGTGTCCATGTAAATACTTGTTGATTTATGTTGTATTTTACTTGGCATATGTCAAAATATGATTATCTAGATCAGAATGGACATCCTTTTCCACTGCAATTCCTTGTTATAAATAATATTGAGCTGGTTTTTGTCATGTGATGACATATATTCTTGAGTGTGTGTATAGGTTTCTTACTGTGTATTAATAATCACTATAATTTGTTTTATTTAGAAAAAAGACACTAGGAATCCCTAACATTTTCGTTAAGTTCGTCAAGATGCCGGCGTCAAGTAGTTGTGCAGATAAAGTACTGTGCTGGTATTGTGGTAATCCTGCTGTTAAAAAAAGAGTTTAGTGTGTTGAGTGTGATAAATATTCACGTGTTAGTTGCAATGAAAAGAAAAAGTGTTGTAATGCTCCCCAAAGTCAAGAGATATTCCTAATATAAATACAAAATTTGACAACAATCGGCCTAGTACTTTCGGAGATTATTTGTCTAATAAAAATCAGTGACGGCAGACAGACGGACAAACGGACAGACAGACAGACGGTAACGGGAGACCTATTGCTTCGTCCTGTAGGGGTAATGAAAGGTCGAGAAAACGTAAAAGTAGAGAGTCGGCCGTCGGACTCGATTACAATACTTCCTTTGTTTACGCTCGGGAAGTAAAAACATAAAAAAAATTTGTTACAATCTAAAATTTAAAAGTTGTGAAAGAAGTAGATTATTTTTTACATTTATTCCTTTGTCATAGCATTCCATTCTGTTAATAGTCCAAAAGAACGACGCAAATTTTTATGTATCACCATGTGTTTAAGTACTTTGCAAAATTGGTATACATATATTTCTTTTATATTATAAGTACGTAATTATTTATCATTTTTAGTTTTTAATGATAAAATTTAACTAATTAAATTAAAAATTAAATTAATGTTTCTATAGATTAAAAGATTTTGTTATTTCCGTAACACAACTTCAAAAATAAAGTTTATGCGACTTTGTAATTTAAATTATTGCAATATTTCCATGATTTTCCTATATTACTATTAATTATTATTTTACCCTTAATCCATATTGCTCGTTGCCTGCTTGACCGTGAACGCGCAGTCCATTGAATATAATAAGTCTACCATGTCCAATTTTAATCTCACATAAGAATTATTTGTTGTTTAAAACTTCCCAAGATTGTATGGCGAATTTAAATATTGTTTACTGCTCTTTTGGAAACTTTAATACTCGTTCAGTTGTTGTTAATATCAGTCATAAAAAATTGAACATTTACAATGGAATTGAGGTTAAATAACACAGAAAACGTGAGAGAAACGAAATGCGTGTAATGTGCTGTCCGGGTAGACTTGCGATAGATAGAATCACCGTCGAGGAGGGAGAATAGCCCCGACCGGTAGCCCCAAACTCCGCTCCCAAAATCACAGCTTACTGGAGATTCGGTTAATTGATATCCTGCTTTCGCAATAATTCGAACTGCTCTTTTTTGTAATATAAAGATTCGATATATTATTTCATAATTGAAGCCAAAAAAATCAATTTAATAATTTGCATATAATATATCACTTCAGTATAACAAGTCTGTCCGGTGGTTTAAAAATCAAAAAGGGTGTGAAGTATTATTATTTGAAGTACTATTAGCAGCCGTAAACACTGCTAGTGGTGCGCACTGGCGACGTCCTTGTCGATCAGATCAAAGCGTCTACACTACTCGGCGTAAAACATACCTTACTTCTACTGAGCGATTGCAGCAGTAAGATTTTATTCCGAGACGTGGTGATCACTTCATCGTTTATTTCAAATTTACCTGCAACCACCAGTTTGTCTTAATGGAGCTTTATCTTTAAAATCTTGGACTTTAAAATATTTAGGTATAGCGTTCTCTTTCAACTTTAAGTCGTAGACGAAATCTTCTTGATGAAAGTGTACCTTAAAAGATTTAAAAATACATAAAAAAGACTTTACAGAAATAAGTACTTTATAAATTTTGAAGGTAGAACCAATTTTCCAATTTGGATGCCTCAAATTTTCTTTCCAAAGCCTAATGGGTTCTTACATAAAATGTTAAGAGCTTGGCGGAGAATTAAATCCGCCATTTTCCAGACACCCGGTATAATCTTTTTTTCGATTTTTTGGTTTGTAATTTTTCAATTTTTTAATTATTTTGTTTCGTCAATTTTACAACATGCAACTCAACGAGTCTTCATTATTCCAACTTTTGGATGTTTCAATTTTTGGATGAAATTTCACGACTTTCTTATTTTTAATTTTTTTTTGATTTTTCAATTTTTCATTTCTTTAATTTCTCGATTTGAAATATTTCGTTTCCGTTTTTTATTTTCCTGTTTTTTTTTTCATTTTTCGGTTTTTCTGTGTTTTTATTTTACAATTTTTCTTTTTTCAATGTGACGTTTTTCAATTTTTGATTTTTCAGTGTTACAGTGTCACGAATTTACAAGAAGAAGTGGCAAATTCTATCATTTTCCGATTTTACAAATTCTGGGTTTTTTAATTTTTCGATTCATTCATTTTTTTCAATTTTTAGTTTTTCAATGTTTCAATTTTTCGTTTTTTCAGTTCTTCGGAACCGGAAGATCAAAAATCGAAAAAAGGCAAAATAAAGAAAACAAAATGTAAAATTGAAATAATGGAAATGAAAGAAATCAGAAAATCGTGAAATCCACTTTTTCGTAGTGGCAATTCGCTCGATGGACTCGATTACTATGATTAGCCTATAATTGCGCTGTCTATAACCGAGGAAATAAATATATTGGAAAATATGCGTAATACTTCCAAAACAGGCGTTACATCAGAGAGTTAGTAGCAACTTATATCGAACCGATAATGAGGACATCAACTTAGTCTAGATCTTGGTATAGTAGAAGCATTCAACATGATCGCCTATATTATTCGTACGCTTACTTTTTGGCTTCTTCAGACATCAATTTTATCGCAAGCGTTTACTTCCATAAACTATATCATCGTAGATAACAAAATGGACGAAAAACCGCAGAACCAATCCATAATTGTGATATCAGAACCTGCACGGGCAATAATAGTTAAAGATGAAATTAACAAATTGTTCGACGGGTTATTTAATCTCCCATACCCACTCCAAACCCTGGAGTTTATAAACACCAGCACTGAAGAAATAGAACCAGATTTTCTTAAAGGACAAGAAGTTTATTCGCTTATTGTTCAAGAAAACAATATTAAAGTAGTCCAAACATACACTTTTAGGAATCTTAAACTTACAGATATAGATCTCAGTCGTAATGGAATCCAGTTAGTTGAAAATCTGGCATTCGCTAATCTTTCCAATTTAGAGGAAATCTATCTTGATGAAAACAAACTAACGACTTTGAACTCCAAAGCCTACGAAAACCTACCCAAATTACGAAAGCTGACTTTAATGAAAAACTACATCACACTATTAGCACCATCTTCATTTGATTTTGTCAAGACGAGATATTTTGTTTTATCTTTATCACATAATAGGATTGCAAACATCGACGAAGACGCCTTCAAAGGATCAAATGGCACGAATGTAAATCTTTTCCTAGACAACAATTTGTTGCAACAAATTTCAGTCAACATTTTCCACAACCACAGTTTTCTAGAAGTTAGATTAAAGGGAAACAAAATTCGTAAATTGACTGGTAATCTTGAACGGCAAAATTTTAAAATTACTATGTTTCGTATCGACAACAATTTTGATAAAAAAAGTTTAAAGTCTCTTTTACATTGGACAATTCGGAACGACATAACGCTGGACTGTGAAACCGGTGTTAGTACGAATTTCAAAAATCTTGCGCAACCGGTACATTTTCAAAAGAGTTTTTCGATGATTTTCCAGATTTTTTTCGCTATTTGTTCGTGTTGGATTGTGGTCACATAAATGCTTATTGGTTTATGTTGTACGTTTACTTGGTATATGTCAAAATATATTTATCTAGATCAGAATGGACAATCTTTTCGTGCTGAAATTCCTTGTTATAAATAATATTGAGCTGGTTTTTGTCGTGTGATGACATATATTCTTGAGTGTATATATAGGTTTGTTACTGTGTATTAATAAATCATTCAATACATATTGAATAATCGCTATAAATAATTTGTTTTACTTAGAAAAAGACACTAGGAATTCCTAAGATTTTTTTAAACGCCTTCAAAAGCAAAACATCAGAAATCACCGACATTTTTCTCAAAGTCTAAAACACAAAGAGCTCTAGGAATTCTTTAGCATTATTTAAAGAACAAACAATAGAAATCTCTAAAATCCCTTCAAGTACCTTTAAAAATAATACACCGAGAATTTCCTAAATTCTTCAAAATTTTTCATACTTTTCTAGGCTTCCATATCTATACACAAATTTCTGCTGTCTTCTATAGTAATCACTTCTCTGGAAACATTTTAAATCGCTTTTCACAAGGTTTGCTCTACCTTGACGAATTTTACGAAAACGAGGGTTTTACAATTAAGCTTCGCCCCTCGGCTTACGAGAAATTAAAAAAATCATCAGAATTGCGATAGGGCGGGCGGGCGGGGTTTATATTTTGCCTTTTTTCTTAGTATACATAGCCATCTTATCAAAACAAGAAACATAGAACATGGTTAAAATAGTACATTTTTGCAAGAAAATTTGGATTTTGCAATTATAGGGCGGAGCCTAGTGTATGTTATTGGTGCATTTTACTCTGTTTTCTGTTCTCGTTAGCATTTGAAGAAACCTTAAGGGTTCCTAGTGTTTTTAACAATGTAATGTTCGAGCTCCATGTGCTTTATTTTTGAAACAACTTTCAAAAATCTCAAGATTGTTTAAAAATGGGTTGTAAACAATGCCTTTGAGTTTAATCGTACGGGTTGGCGTCGCCAAGTGACAACGCTGGCCTGCATTTCATTTTAGAAGTTTATTGTTAGTAATACTGAGTGTCTTTGCGTGTTGGTGAGTGTGCTGGGGCCGGTTTTAATTTTTGTGGATACAGTAATGAATCCTAAGGTAAAATCATCCATGAAATATAAAATCAAATTATGGTTAGGGAATAATTTGGACACTAATTTTCAATTTCCTTCTTCAACCAAAGACAATGATTTTTTTTTTTTTATTATAATTTTTTATTGACTAACAGAACAAAGTTCCAAAAGAGACAATAGTTTTAAAAAACAAAATATGAAATAAGATGTCCTTATAACTACAAACGTCTTAAATAATTGTTAAACATATGTTGCGAGCAACTGAAGATATCTATATCTACTAAGTTATTAACCGCCAATCCTATTCTATTTACTACAGAAGTGTTGTAACCGAGATTTGTTCTTTTAATCGAACATAAGATTGTGTCCTGGTTCCTAGTATGTACCAAAGGTACTCTAAAATTAAATAAGGATAAGAATTCGGCACTATCAATTTGATTATTGAACAGTTTATATGCAAACTTAAGCTCAAATTTTAACTTACGTTGTATAAGAGTCTCTAGTTCTGTTATAGCAAGTCTTTGATTATAATTATAATTTGATTTATTGAGACCCATTTTAAACATTAAATAATTACAGAACTTTCTTTTTACCCTTTCGAGGCGAATTTCGTGAATTGCATATGAAGGAAACCATATAAGAATGCCATATTCTAAAATTGGTCTAACCATGGTAATATAGAGCTTACGAATTGCTATGATGCTATGGAAATCTGCAGTCATTCTTCTTATGAAACCACTAACTCGAAAAGACTTATCGATTACATAATCTATATGCTTAACAAAACTTAAAGTCGAATTAAAAATGATCCCCAAGTCCCTAATTTCACTAACAGCCTCCAGGATTTGGTTGTCAATGCTATATGAAAATTTTATAGTGGATTTTTTCCTGGAGAATGTTATTTGTTTACACTTTTTGTTATTTAATTGCATGCTATTTTCACTACACCAGTTGGTTATTTTTATAAGAGTATATTGCATAGCTTGACAATCTGCAAGGTCGTTAACTTTAATGAATATTTTAAGATCGTCCGCAAAGAATAAAAATCTAACAAAATTAAGTGATAGTGCCAGGTCATTTATGAATATTAAAAATAAAATAGGACCGATGTGACTGCCTTGTGGGACTCCCGAGGGAATAGAAATAGCATCTGATAAAAAGCCTTTAACTGAGATTTTTTGGGTACGATTTAATAGGTAAGAAGCTAACCAGCGGTGAAGAGAACCTCGTATGGCATAAATTTTTAATTTGTTTAAAAGAAGGGCATGGTTGACTCTGTCGAAAGCTTTACAGAAATCTAGATATACAGCGTCGACTTGAGCTGCCTCCTCTAAAGCATCAATGATATATTCATTGTAGATGGCGAGATTTGTTACTGTGCTTTTTCCTGGCAGAAATCCATGCTGATGAGGTGTCAAAACCTTTGCATAAGATCTAGTTAATGTATCACTGATGATTGCTTCGAGTCCCTTGCATAAAGCTGCTATAATCGAAATAGGACGATAGTTTGTAACATCTTTATTGTCACCTGATTTGTACAAAGGTATGACATAAGATTGTTTCCAGATGTCTGGGCATGTATCAGATGTCAAAGACTTACTATATAAAATCCAGATTGGCCAAGCAAGACTGGAAGCACACTGCGTTAAGAAGAATGAAGGAATACCATCTGGTCCAGGATTAAAACTAGATTTAAGGGACAGTAATTTATTTTTTACTTCATCGATGCAGATATCTATGTCGTGTAAATCGATATTGTTGTTGACGCTTGAAAGGCCTAGTGTCATATTAGGGTCGATAACATCCTGATTATAAACAGACTTGAAAAAATTGGCAAACAAATTGGCAATATCTTTAGGTTTTGAAGAGCAGGTGTCACCAAAATTCATACATTTGGGAAAATAAGATTTGGAGTTTTGACGTTTGGAGTTGATAAAACTGTAGAAGATCTTCGTATTATGATTTAAATTGGTTTGTATATACGTTAAGTATTTTTTGTAATCTTTTTTGATAGCCGTTTTAGAAAGTCTACGAAGATGTCTATAAGAATTGTAATGACTTTCATTTGAAGTTTTTCTATAGAGGGCTAAAGTTTTACGTTTTTTATTAATAAGTTTGATAGTGTCAGGCTTGTACCATGCTGGAAAATGACAATTATGTAGTCTAGATTTAGGAATACATATATCGATAGCAGAAAATATAATAGAATAAAAAAAGTCAGTTGCTGAGTTTATATCGTTATAATCAATTAGGGAATTCCAATTAAGTGAAGAAAAGTAGTCGTTTAATTCGCTATAGTTGGCATTTTTAAAATTATAACGCCAACTTGCCAATGGAGCAATAGAGGGTGTAGAATATGGTAAATTAATATGCGTCAAAAGCGGCGGATGGTGGGAATCGATTGGAACTAAACCTTGAGATAACTTTTTTACAAAGGTATTTGGTATTGAACTAAGTATTAAATCGAGGATAACGTCGTTGTTATTAGCTACACGATTGTATTGAATTAAATCTAGTGAAGAAAAGCTGTCACAAATAATTTTATCTTTATCACTAGTTCCTGTTATAAGGTTTTCTATAGTAGATGAATAAACAAGGTTTGGTAAGTTATAGTCTCCAGCTATGCAAAGTAAAGCATCAGGAAAAGATGTTTGAATACAATCAATGGAGGCAATGTTTTGAAGATAAGTATCGATACTAGAATTTGGAGGAATGTAAACTGCGCCACATATTAGTAAATAGTTTTCGCACCTGATGGAAACATATAATTCTTCACATATAGTAGTATTAGGAATGCGTACATTGTCGGTTAGAAGGTATGAACGCACAGATATCAAAACACCACCGCCACGAACTTTTACCGAGGATCTTAGATCACGGTCTAAACGAAATACTGTGTAGTCACTACTAAAAATTTCACCATCTGTTATCTCACTACAAAGCCAAGTTTCTGTTAATATAATAATATCGTAGTCCATATTCAAGGAAGTTAGAAAAGCAGTTGTCGTTTTTGTTCGTAAACCACGCACATTTTGGTAGAAAAGACTTAATCCTGTTTTACGATCAGAGTGAAGTTTTTTGTATCCTTGATAATTGTAGGCACACCATTTTTGTAGCGTATACGGAGACCCTTTTCGCCATTCTCGCGTCTTGTGCGAAGTTCTTTGCGTATATTATAGGCCTGTTGTTGTTGCATGGGTGTTAAATCATTGTTAAAATAAACAGAGTCGATTTTAGGTTTAGCTCGAACTAAAACATTAACTGTGGCGGAATTACCGAAAACTATTTTAATGGAGCGGGGTTTGGTAGAGCTGGATTTTCCGAGACGCATGGCAGACATTATTTTGTAATCATTTTCGGGAATAACGGTAGATATAATTTGCGTTATTTTTTCCATGTCTTTCCTTTTACGATCTTCAGGTGATCCATTTGTTTCCGGGAGACCTGTGATAATTATGTTTTTTTCACGATGAATACGATCCCTGGCTTCTGAAATAAATTCCTCTATATTTGGATCAGATTGTTGATCAACATTGTTAGTAAATCCCTTTGTTTTTATATCTTCCAACTCTTTTCGGAGTTTTTTATTTTCTGATAGTATATCATTGATGGACTTTTTCATATCTGAGATAGAAGAGGTCAAAGAATTTATGGCAGTTACCAAGTATTTAATCGCATTCGGATCATCTGGATCAGGCAATTGAACAGGAGTTGTAGGCATGCAACATGGTTTTCTTTCAGCACATCCAATGTGTGACCAGAGTTGACAATCTGCACAAAAGATCCGTTTTTTAACAGCTACTCTACTGCACACAAAGCACACAATACGTTGCGAACCACCGTCCTGGTCGGCCATCTTAACTCAACTCTGCAAACTCTGAATTGTTCTGCAAAGTGTGTGGAAAAGTTGTAAGTAAACATTGAAAATACTGAAGCTTGAATTTTGTTCACATTTTCGTTTCCTAGTTTAAGTGCGAAAAAAAATCACACTTTGAACAACAACATGGCAGTGGCGATGCACATAAAAAGAACACTATAATTTTTATTTAAAAACTTCTTAACATAAATTTTATAATTTACAGGTAATTAAACAAATTAGAAATTCTATTGGCTATAATGAGATATGGATTGGCGTCGATGAGACGACGGACATTTAGTAACCGGAAAGTTATCTTCTGAAGAAGCTGACCGTCTCTTTCCAAAAGAATAATTCTAAAAACTATGAGCGCCCTGATAAACCACAGTAATATTTTACATATTTCAGATACAGGACTTATTAGGCAAATTTTATTGTAGGGGATAAACGAATACATTTTCATTAACGATTTACCACGATTCCGATAAACTTAGTACTTTTGCAACATTTCAGAGCATTCGGTTTTACAGTTTCAAAGTTAAATTGCAAAATATAATTCACCCTATGGACTCGATTAATATGATTAGTTGATTGGCCTACGATTGCGTCATGTACAACCCAGGCACTTCCATTAGGAAATTTGCGTAGTACTACCAAAACAGGGATTACAACAGACAGTAATTGATACTTTAGTGGCAACTTTATTTCGAACCTATAATAAGACATCTACGTAGTATAGATCGTGGTAGAACAGAAGCACACAACATGTTCGCCTATATTATTCGTACGCTCATTTTTTGGCATCTTCAATCATCATTTTTATTGCAACCGTTTACTTCGATAAACTATATTATCGTAGATAACAAAAGGTACGAAAAACCGCAGAACGAGTCCATAATTTTGACACCGGAACCTGCACTGGCGATAAAGGTTAAAGATAAAATTAGCAAATTGTTCCACGGATTATTTAATCTCTCATACCCACTCCAAACCTTGGAGTTTATAAACACCAGCACTGTAGAAATAGAACCAGATTTTCTTATTGGACAAGAAGTTTATTCACTTTATATTCAAGAAAACAATATTAATGTAATCCAAATGTACACTTTTAGGAATCTCACACTTGCAATAATAGATCTCAGTCGTAATGGAATTCAGATCGTTGAAAATCTGGCATTCGCTAATCTTTCCAATTTAGAGAAAATACGTCTTATAGATAACGAACTAACGACTTTGAACTCCAAAGCCTTCGAAAACCTACCCAAATTTGAAGATCTCATTTTAATCAAAAACTACATCACACAGTTGGGACCATCTTCATTAGATTTTGTCAAGAGGAGATATTTTTTGTTAATTCTATCAGATAATAGGATTGCAAACATCCACGAAGACGCCTTCAGAGGATCAAATGCCACAAATGTAAATCTTTTCCTAGAGAACAATTTGTTGCAACAAATTTCAGTCAACATTTTCCACAACCACAGTTTTGTAAAAGTTTGGTTAACGGGAAACAAAATTCGTAATTTGACTGGCAATCTTGAAGTGCAAAATTTTAAAATTAATATGTTTGCTATCGACAACAATTTTGATAAAAAAAGTTTCCAATCTCTTTTAAACTGGACAATTCGGAACAACATAACGTTGAGATGTGAAGCTTGTGTTAGTATGAATATCAAAAATCTTGCGCAACCGGTACATTTTCAAAAGGGTTTTTCGATGATTTTTCAGATTTTTTTCGCTATTTGTTCGTGTTGTATTGTGGTCACATGAATGCTTATTGATTTATGTTGTACGTTTACTTGGTATATGTCAAAATATAATTATCTAGATCAGAATATTATTATTAATAATATTATTGAGCTGGTTTTTGTCGTGTGATGACATATATTCTTGAGTGTATGAATATGTTTGTTACTGTGTATTAATAAATCATTGAATACGTATTGAATAATCACTATAATTTGTTTTATTTAGAAAAAAAGACACTAGGAATCCCTAAGATTTTTTTAAACGCCTCCCAAAAGCAAAACATCAGAAATCACCGACATTTTTGTCAAATTTTAAAATACAAAGAACACTAAAAATTCTTTAGCATTATTTAAAGAACAAACAGTAAAAATCCTTAACATCCCTTCAAGTACCTTTAAAAATAAAACAGCGAGAATTTCCTAAATTCTTCAAAATTTTTCAAACTTTTCTAGACTTCAATATCTATACACAAATTTTGGTTATTAATGAATTTCGCCGTGCCTGCTGAAATACCTTGGAACACTACAGAATTTTTGGGGCTGCTTGCCTTTTACATTTTCAAGTTGTTTAATTTCTGAAAAAGTTTGAACTAATTTTAGGGACTCTTAGTGTCTTCTTTGAAAATATTTTGGTATTTACTGGTGTTTGGTTTTGAAAGAGTTTCCTTGAAAGTTCGGAACCCTCGAGTTTTATTTTTGAAGGAATTTGAAAGATTTCGGGGATTTCTGGTATTTTGTTTTTGTAGACACTTGAAAGAATCATAGAGGTTCCTAGTGTTTTTTTAACAATATTGTGTTCGAGTCTCCATGTGTTTCATTTTTGGAAAAACTTCGAAAAATCTCAGAGGTGCCTTATTTTTTTTCTATTTTAGGTTAATTTAAGGTATCCGGCATCAACAAAAAATAAAATTCACTATTTTTGTGCTGATGAGATTGTCGCAATTGTGACACAAAGAATAACTTAATTTTAATTAAAGAAAAAACGGAGAATCGTCTATTCAATCGATTTCCCAATACGAGTCACGACAAAATTTTATATTTATAAAAACTGGAAAAACTGTATGTTCCAAGTTGTTTAAAAGTCGTTATACCTTGGCAATAACGAAATAAAGTTAGTCAGTAATAAAGTTATGAAGCAACTTTATTTTGGTTTCAATTATGAAATAATGTATCGAGTCTTTATATTACAAAAACGCGCACTTCGAATTATTACTAAAGCATATAAAAGAAATTAAATATTTAATGCGCAAACGTTTTCATTCTTTATTTCACTGAAGTAAACAACCATAAAACCTGAAAAATCATTGAAAATCTGTTTTGAAAATGCAGCGGTTGTGCAAGATTTTTATTATTCGTACTCAAACAAAAAATAGGTCCACCGTTTCCGTCTGTCTGTCTGCCTGCCGTCTGTCGCGATTTTTATTAGACAAATAATCTAGATATATTTGCACATATATATGCACAACATAAACCAATAAGCATTTACGTGACCACAATCCACCACGAACAAATAGCGAAAAAAATCTGAAAAATCATCGAAAAACTCTTTTGAAAATGTACCGGTCGCGCAAAATTGTTGATATTCATACCAACACAGGTTTCACAGTCCAACGTTATGTTGTTCCTGATTGTCCAGTTTAAAAGAGACTGAAAACTTCTTTTATAAAAACTGTTTTCAATACGTAAAACAAGAATTTTAAAATTTTGCATTTCAAGATTACCAGTTAAAGTATGAATTTTGTTTCCCGTTAAACTAACTTGTAGAAAACTGTGGTTGTGGAAAATGTTGACCGAAATTTGTCGTAACAAATTGTTGTCTAACAAAAAATATACATTTGTGGCATTTGATCCTCTGAACGCGTCTTCGTGGATATTTGCAATCCTATTATCTGATAGAAATAACATAAAATCTCTCGTCTTGACAAAACCCAATGAAGATGGTCCCAATTGTGTGATGTAGTTTTCCATTAAAATCAGATCTAGAAATTTGGGTAGGTTTTCGTAGGCTTTGGAGTTCAAATTCGTTAGTTTGTTTCCTTCAAGACAGATTTTCTCTAAATTAGAAAGATTAGCGAATGCCAGATTTTCAACGATCTGGATTCCATTACGACTGAGATCTATTAATGTAAGTTTGAGATTCCTGAAAGTGTACGTTTGGATCACTTTAATATTGTTTTCTTGAATAGAAAGTGAATAGACTTCTTGTCCGTTCAGAAAATCTGGTTCTATTTCTACAGTGCTGGTGTTTATAAACTTCAGGTATTCAAGTGGGTACGAGAGATTAAATAACCCGTCGAACAATTTGGTAATTTTATCTTTAACTACTATCGCCAGTGCAGGTTCTTGTGTCAAAATTATGGACTCGTTGTGCGGTTTTTCGTACATTTCGTTATCTACTGTAATATAGCTTATCGAAGTAAACGCTTGCGATAAAAATGATGTTTGAAGATGCCAAAGAAAAAGCGTACGAATAATATAAACGAACATGTTGTGTATTTCTACTCTATGAAGACCTAGATTACGGTTAGGTATAAAGTTGCCACTAATGTAACAATTACTGTCTGATGTAATACCTATTTTGGAGGTATTACGCATATTTCCTAATAGAACTGCTTCGGTTATAAATAGCACCATTGTTTAAGGTTTAAACAATTTGGAGTATACAGTTGTCCCATCAATTAACATTATCATTATAAAATTTTATTTTTGTTGATACCTCATATTTAGGCTTCGGATTTTAGGTTGGTAAAAAATGAATAAAAGGAGACATTTTTAGGTCCCAAAATTGACGAATTAGGTTATAAAAATCTTAGTTTAGGTTAAAAACCTGGAGGAAAAAATATTTGCTCAACGAAGAAGCATACATCAAAGAAATATATATTTAAAAAAAAGACATTAAACGAAACTTTATAGAAACAAATATTTTGTGTAACAAACAAAAAAATTATTAAATAAACAAACGATCTATAGTTACGTCCACTAATTCTAAGTTATCGCAAAAAATGGCGATCAAATTAAAGCAAGTCGCATTTAACAAAAAATAAAATATTAATTCAGGTATTTTAAATGAGTTACAAAAGCAAACTATATATTTCTCTGAATTTTCGATTATAAATGTACACCTTTGATCGCTTAGAACACTTTTAAGTTTTGAAAACATGGTTCCACATCACAAGAAGTGATGGGTGCAAAATTAAATATTGAACAATCTACGTTTTCATTTATGTATGCATTATTGGTAGCATTTCCATTACCGCAAATTACGTTATTTACTGAACATATAAAATCGTATCCTGGATTCTTTTTTAATAGAGAACATAATTTTTGGAACGCCAGTTCCCCCACCTTTCCTGGTGTGTTTTTTAAAGATGTGTACACTTTTTACACAATTTCCATACTTTGATTTAATTTTAAACCTATAGTTTCTAATTGTTCTATTGCATCAACAATAATTTTAAAGTGAGTTTTAATGTACAAGAGTTCATTTTTAACGTTTGCTTTATTCAGGAGTTCTTGAGCTTTTTTAATGCTTTGTGCATATGTGGCTTCAAATGACAATACAACCTAAAAATATTCAATATAAGAATAAAAACCATTATATATTTACTGACTTATTTTAAAACATCAAAGTGTTCTGCATATGACAATGCTGCTTGAATCTGTTGTGAAGGGGTTGTGACTTAGACACATATATTTCGATTTCCCGTTTATTTCACTGCCCACATAATCTAATACTATTAAACGAGCAAAGTTTGTATATATATATATATGTAATGGGTTTCTCGAAAACGGCTCTAACGATTTCGATGAAATTTACAGGTTAGGGGTTTTTTGGGTCAAGAAATCGATTGATCATAGTTTTAACTTCTGAAAATTACAGCTTCATGCATTTTCAGCAATTTTCAGGCAGTGAATTATATTTGTTGCTAGGCAACATCAGATGACACTACACGAACACGAGATTGTTTTATATGAGAAGTTTGGGTGACAGTCTGACAGTACGTTTGACGTACCTTTTTATCTTCAATTGTACGTACCGAAACATACTCCACTGTATAGAGGACGTTGAAATTCACCTCCTGAGGTGAGAAAATTTACCAAAAACTAAACAGTGAGCGGATAAAAGGCACACGAAAGTGTGTTGAATTGAGATTATTTTGTCAAGCATTCATTTCAGAGGTTCCACGGTCAGTGTCAACATGTGATCGTTTTCGGGGATGGGACCGTGTTATTTGAGTTTTTGGGCTCAACGTTTCGCACACTTTCGTAAATGGCATCTTCGGGAGCAGGGTTGAGATTGAGAAATTAGGAATAACACAAAAGAGCACGTTAACTCAATATGTTAACCACACCAGAGGCGAAACTCTTCTGGCAGTAAGAATGTGGTTGTGACCTTTTTCTAGAGTCGAGAGAGAGAACTACGAAAAAAAAAGAACGACAGGGAGAAAACTTGGGTAACAAATGAGATGTCAAACAATAATTCCAGTTTTCTGTTCTTTAATCTCTACATGTCACTTATCAGTGTTTAAAACAAAGACTGCTTATGAAATTTCTTTTTTAATGTGTATTTTTAAGTAGCGCGTGTACTTCAAAATGCATACTATACGCATATTTATCTGTCCTAATCTGATCTAATACTACCAAACGAGCCGAGTGAAACTCGGTCAACCAGATATTAAAACTTACATGACAACTTTACATGGCCATGATCACATGGCAACCTCTTCTCTACCTTACACACATTCTCTCCCTTGTCTCTTCGTTGACTCCTCTATTTATCACTTCCTCGTAACGAGGGCAACTGACCATATTCTTACAAAATACAGAGGAGTCAGCGATTACAAAACATTTGGACAAGCAACCTAATTTAGAGGTCTATTTTGTAACTCTTAACGATCTCGCTAGACCATCGTTAACTTACGATAATCGTTCCCATAACGATTTTGGGACTGATAGCGATTTTGTAACATCTATCGTCTCGTTACATAGCGATCGTATCGTTAGAATGTCATCGTTCCGGAACGATAGGTTTCAGCTCACCGTTAGAAGTGTCAGAACACGTTAGAAAAGTATTTATACAATGAAGAGGAACGTTTTGGTGCAAATATGGGTAGAGAAGGTAAATGTAAGTAATTAATGTATGTTTGGATTAGGTTGATGACTTATTATAGGTATATTTTTTTTACTGCAGAGACAGAATGAGAAATTTGTCTCGGGTCTTGAGAGATGTAAACGACCCCTTGATCGTTCGAGAAGAAACCTATAAGGGGTCTATTTTGTAATTTATCGCTCCGGAACGATCTCGTTCCCAAACGATAATCGTTAGAAGCAATCGTAAAATCAGTTTAGCGAGATTGTACAAATTTCCAATTTTATAAACACTATCGTAATCGTAAAGCTTTGAAATCGTTAGCGGAACGATGAATCAAATGTTTTTAGAATCGGTAGTATTTAAATTTGCGTAGCGTCTAGATTACGTTGTTCTCTGTTGTGACATGTGACATTTGTTTTGCTACTGATTGAAGTTTGGACAAATTTGTGAACTTTATAACATGTAAGTAAACAATAATTATAAAAGAAAAACATCAAAATAATCACACTAACACGAAATTCAGTTTACAATACGTTCACGGGAGCAGTGGAAAAACGTAAAAGGGCCCAGCGTATTACCCAAGAGTAACATGAGTTGTATGTGGAGGAGTTAGAAGGTAATGTAGATTTTAGGGCCCAAAAGTTCGTAGCGGACAAGCCAGATCTTTTAGAAAAGATATGGGAAGGGTTGATAGCAAAACTAAATTCTGTGGGAGGACCACAAAAAAGTTTTCAGCAGTTCAGAGAGGTATGTGTAATTAATGAATCTCCCGAACACTCTTTTTAAAAATGTGTACTTTACTATAATTTATCGTACAACTATTAGCAATTATTCTGCTTACATCAACACTTTGGTTATGACAAAGTGAACATCTTGTTTAGTCATGACCAATCAATTATGAGAACTGAGATGTTTAATCTTTATAAATACTGTTACACAATAAACCATAACCTCTGTGTTTTTTAGTACACCAAGAATATAACATAGGGCACTCTAATTACAATGTACTGCCTGGTAAGTAAACGTCACTGTGTGTTCCAGAGATTTGTAGATTGGAAATTCAATGTTTGAAAGAAGGCCAGAAATTTAAGACTACGAGTATGTGAAAGAGGAACTGTTTAATAATTTCATTATGTTGTAAAAAAAATAATAAATACATTATTGAAAATGCTGTATTATTAAATTATTTCTTGTGATATGCCATTCATGTAGTAAATTGTGTTCTTCATATTCAAGTTCTTCATTATTATCGTTCTCCTTGTCATAGACAATGTTGATCTCTTCATTTTCGATATTTCTTATGCGTAAGATTGTGTGAAACAGCACATGAGTATGTAATTTTTCCTGCAACTTCTGGTGAATAATACAGAACTCTGCGGCAGTTGGTAGGTCTTCCTAAAGGTTTCTTCTCGAACGATCAAGGGGTCGTTTACATCTCTTAAGACCCGAGACAAATTTCTCATTCTGTCTCTGCAGTAAAAAAAATATACCTATAATAAGTTATCAACCTAATCCAAACATACATTAATTACTTACATTTACCTTCTCTACCCATATTTGCACCAAAACGTTCCTCTTTATTGTATAAATACTTTTCTAACGTGTTCTGACACTTCTAACGGTGAGCTGAAACCTATCGTTCCGGAACGATGACATTCTAACGATACGATCGCTATGTAACGAGACGATAGATGTTACAAAATCGCTATCAGTCCCAAAATCGTTATGGGAACGATTATCGCAAGTTAACGATGCTCTAGCGAGATCGTTAAGAGTTACAAAATAGACCTCTTAAATTGGAAATTTGCACAATCTCGCTAACCTGATTTTACGATTGCTTCTAACGATTATCGTTTGGGAACGAGATCGTTCTGGAGCGATAAATTACAAAATAGACCCCTTAATATAGCTAACAAAACTATGGCGAAATGAAATTATAATGCAACAATAATGCAACAATAACCTACTTTACTTTACAACAAATCCAAGTGCCCCACCTGGTTAATACAAGTTCAGGTGGGAGAAATGTATTTGGTAAACTGTTTTTATAAAACTCTACTCTTATTGGTGCTTTTAAAAAGATTTTCTTAACATTGCTAATTATCCCATTGACATCTGGATAATTCAGTCTAATTGTTTCAGACACTAAATGTAACCCATGTGTCATACATGTTCAGTGTGTTATATTTTCATAAAACACCTTCAAATTAGTACCAGTTTTGATCATGTATGAAGCAGCATCTGATACAAACCATTTAACTTTTTTGTGTTCAGTTCCTTTTGGCCACAATCAAGCTGCTAATTAACAATTAAATAAATTATAATAATTTCAATGCTTAAAATTATCAATACCACACCCAATGATTCGTTTATAAATCTCGAGATTGTGTTGCTATTAGTTTTATGAAGCCGCGTCAAAGCTAGTAGAAATGGACGGCCAGCTTCTTCAGAAGATAACTTTCCAATTACTAAATGGGCTATGTATCTTCCTAATCTGTCCGTCGTTTCATCGACGCTAATCCATATATCATTATTGCCAATA